GTCTTGAAATGCTATGTATTTTCTACCCTTTTATATGGAGTCGAAGCCTGGACCTTGACGGAGGCAACATTCAAACGATTAGAAGCCGTCGAAATGTATTGCTACCGTCGCATGCTTAGAATTTCCTATATTCATCATGTTACAAACAACACCCTGATCTAACGTATGAATAAAGATCTGGAAATTATGCCTATCTGGAAAATCAGAAAGATGACATACTTAGGGCATGTGATGCGCAATGAGAAGTATCAACTAATTCAACTAATTTTACAAGGCAAGATAGAAGGCAAAATATCTCAAAGGCGGAGGAGTACATCGTGGTTGAAGAACATTAGACAGTGGGCAGGAATGACTGCCATACATCTATTTAGAGCAGCTGTCAACAAAGTTCTTTGGACCAACGTTATTGCCAAAATCCACAGAGGATAGGCACCAAAAGAAGAAAAAGAAGAGGTCAACTACAATCAAAGTATAAAAAATAAGAAAAATTATGCGCTCTACTTAACCCTGTGTTGGGTTGTGGTGGGGTATGATACACCCCACGCATAAAAAAAACGGAATTTCTCTCAAAAACAGCACCTTACCGCCCTCTATTGTTCAGTAGCTATTACTAAAATATCATTCTATCGAGTAGCATTGTTATTTTCATAATTTCTTCAATACTGATTTATATAGATGTCATAATATGCCGCAAGGGTATGTCACACCCCACCACACCTCTGCCGTCAGTCAGTTTATCATTGTTGATGCTGGACATTTTTTCCGAATTTCACGTGGTTTTTTACTTTTTACTCTGGTTGTTGTGCTCAAAATTTGTTATAAATATGTGTACTTATGAACAAGAGCAAGCGAGATTGCTAAGATTCTGGGAAGAGGTACAAAGCGATGAAGATGGGGCTATTCCTGATTCCGAAGACGAAGTGCAGTTCGACAATGTTAGTGAAAGTTCTCATGCCACAGACACAGAACAAGATGGCGACGAAGATGAAAGTGAACAAGAGAATGGAGATGATGTGAGTACATTAGGTAGATATTATTTGGGCAGAGATAAAGTGACTAAATGGGCTAAGAAGGTAGAAGTACGATCGGTTCGCACTAGAGCCGAAAATATAATTTCTCAATTGCCTGGCGTGAAACGACACGCTAAAGAAGCTAAAACTGCAATTGATTGTTGGAAGCTTTTCATGGATGACACACTCATTGCTGATATTGTAAAACATACTAATGAGAAAATCAATTCAGTAAGTGAACGTTACAACGATGGGCACCAATACGTAGTAAAAGAGACCTCCGAGCAAGAAATCAAGGCTGTCGTTGGATTACTTTATTTGGCAGGAATTCATCGATCGTCTCGGCGAAACCTTGAAGATTTCTGGGCAAACGACGGCACAGAAATGCCAATATTCAAGAAAACTATGTCTCTAAAACGCTTTCAATTTCTGCTAAGGTGCTTGCGGTTTGACAATGGAGCTACGCGCGTAGATAGAATCAAAATCGATAAATTAGCCCCAATTAGAAGTGTTTTCGAAAGAGTAGTTGACAATTTTCAGTCTGCCTATACACCTGGCATGTATCTCACTATTGATGAAAAATTGGAGGCATTTCGTGGCAGGTGCCCTTTTCGGCAATACATTCCGAATAAACCGGCTCGTTATGGAATCAAAATCTTTGCTTTAGTCGATTCAAGATGTTATTATACTACAAACTTGGAAATTTATTGTGGTTCTCAACCGGATGGTCCTTTCAAACTGAGTACAAAGCCTACAGATGTAGTTTTAAGATTGATTTCACCAGTGTCTGGCAGCAAACGAAATATCACATTCGATAATTGGTTCACTAATTATCCATTAATGCAACAACTTCTTGAAGAACACCAGTTAACATCTGTGGGTACTGTCCGAAAGAATAAGAAGCAAATTCCTTCCACAATGGTCAATACAAAGAATCGAGAACAGTATTCTACACTTTTTGGTTTCCAAAAAAATACAACCTTAGTATCCTATATCCCAAAGAAAAACAAAAATGTTCTTTTGTTATCAACACTACACCATGATGACACAATAGACGAATCTACGGGAAACGCTAGGAAGCCAGAAATAATCACATTCTACAATGTTACTAAGGGAGGGGTTGACACCGTTGACCAGTTATCAGGTACATACGACGTTTCCCGTAACAGCAGAAGGTGGCCGTTGACGGTGTTCTATGCGCTCTTGAATATGTGTGGAATTAACTCCCAAGTAATCTATAAGATCAACAATAATAACTATACACTGAAGCGTCGAAAATATTTGAAATCTCTTAGTTTGTCACTCATAGCAGATTATATGGAAGAAAGGCAACACAATCCTCGGTTGCCGAGAAAACTGCGTGAGACACCGGGCTATAAGACTGCAGATTGTGATGAACCGTTGCCTAAACGTCAGAAAGTACAAGGTAGATGTGTGGTGTGCCCCAGAACAAGAGACAGAAAAAGTCGCTACGTGTGTTATGATTGCAGGCATTTTGTTTGTTTAGAACATGCATGTTTCAAATGTGATACTTGCATCAACGAGGAAAGTCAGTAAATGATGTTGTTAATTGTGTTGATGTCCGTATTTTTCTTTATAATGTTTATTAATTTATAAGTAAATAAAGAAAAATGTGTTTTTAGAAGTCTTTAGTTTTTTTTCATTTCAGAAAAATGTAATGGTTTTAAGCTGCTATTTCTGCTATTTTTGAACTGTGCAATAAATTGTTTGAGCTGATACTTTTTCAATTTTTTTATAGTACACACTATTTCAAATGTTCAAATGAAATGTATATACTTTTAATGCAGATACTCAAATATTGAGTTTTCCAAGACGTATTCTGCTATGGGGTATGTCACACCCCACCACACCAGGCACGTAAGTTTCAGGCACCACACCAACGCAGGGTTAAATAATATGCAATAAACTATGCTTTAATCTCCTATAATCAAACCCAACTGAGACAATTTATCCTAAACGGATGGTTAGACTGAAAATGAATTGAATTTGCATTTCTTATCAGTCTGGAAAATCTGGTTTATATATTTTTATGTAAATATAAACATTAAGGCTAATTTTAGTATTAATTATGTAATAAAATTACCTAGAGGTAACAACTTTTTATTAACGCCGCATATTACTTTAACATTTCGGTTTAACGCGACGAAATGGCACAGCCCTTTCTTTAAACATGTTTTACTGACAACTAGGGGTACCTTCTTCCAAATTCTGTTTTCCGTACGTTTTCAGAATAGGGGTTCATTTAAAAGAGCCAGAGAAGAGAATATTACAGAGTATTTTACTATTATAAGTGCAAACTTTTGTGTTAATATTTGGATCTAAAGGGGATAGGATATATTATGTCCTCTCGTTTACAGTGGCGTTATTTTGTTTCAAACTTCTATATTGTCCAATTGTATTAACATAACTACAAAGCAAAATAAAATAATTTGGGAAAATTTTTATTTGTTCGGAATAGTACTAATAGATAAAATACATAAAATATATGTAGGAAATTGACAAAATTTTATTAAAAAATAGTTCTGGTATTCATAAAAATGTAGACGTTCGTTGTCAGTATTTTGTATCAGTTACTGTATAGGTATTTTATAGTTCATGGTGTAGAATTGGTTTTTTCTAATGCTTCGTCTGTAAAAGTGAAAGACATAATCAAGGCTTGCGAAGCCGGTGTAGATGTAATCTTCTACTGTTCGAGTCATTCACTGATGCTCTTCCTTAAGTATCTTACGTTACAAATTTCGATATCATCTTTACATCCATAGAGAGGAGTGTGATGTTTTACTAAACATCTGTGTTTCTTTAAATCAATTTTGATGGTTGTCTTGTGTTATAGTACGTTCTGCGACGAAATGATTTTTCTTAGTGACCAAGACATCAGTTTTTTATGTTCCGTCAAACGAGTGCGTATAATACGTTCTGGTGTTCCAACGTATACCGATCTACAGCTACAAGGAAGAAGATAACTAACTTAAGTGGATGCAGTGGAGTGACATAAGTCAAAAAAATTGTGCAAACTAATACCAAGGGACAAATTTTTTCATTTTTTAATATTAAAAGCTCATGTACTCAGTTAAAGAGAAACCAGAAGGAAGAACAAAAGAATTATACACACGATGTGAGAAATAATACCATACTAGACGTGAAAATGTGTGAAGGTCTTAGTGAGAGCGCCCACCAAAGTGGCGTGGCCACGTAGCAAGTGGCAAGTAGCACGCGTCTAGCATGTTTCTTAAAATTTAAACCAATGAAAACGAATGATTTAGGCGCACACCAAAATGACAGTGACGTCATTCATTCTAATCATTCCTTTTCATTGGTTACATTTTAAGAAACATGCTAGACGCATGCTACTTGCTACGTGCTACTTGCCACGCCACTTTGGTGGGCGCTCGCCGTAAGAGAAGATTTTAACGTGAAGATAGGTAGGGGGACGGAATACGGACCAATTACTCGAAAACACGTTTACTTGAAGAGTCAAACAACAACATACAATAGAAAATCATCTAAAGCAGATGACTCCTAGCTTCTAAATCATCTTCTCCTTTTTCTCTTCTAGTTTTATTTAGGCAAATTGCTTGTTTTCCTTCGAAATCATCTCTTATTTGATTTTAATATTGTCATCCAATCTTTATTCTTGCTTCTTCCGAGTAGTGATATCTCGAGCTATTCTAACTATTTTATCTTACTCTAACACATTTTATCTTATACCATTCTGCTAATGCGAAATGCTAAAAATTAGCAAAATGGGGTATACAGGTGTGGTCAAACTTGCAAGAGATAAATCACCAATCGGCAGAAGTATCGGACGACAGCGCAAAAGATCGAGTGACAACTTGACATTGAGGTATCAATCCCTCAATGACCAATCAGAATTGCTTATAAAGAGTAAGAAGAAGATTCGGTACTATGTCGTTTCTTCTTAATATGTTCATCTATATCTTTCCTGTTATTCTTTTTAGTATTTTAATTTTACTTTTGTAAAATGGGAATTACTTTATCTTTGTTTTCGATTCCTAGTTTGCACCACATTGATTCTTTTGATATCGCTCTTTTTGTTTGTTGTGACGATATTTTCAAATTAAACTCCTTAGCCTTAATATTAAGATAAGCATTATTATTTGTAAGTCTTCTTCAGTCTCCATTATTGGGACTGCGTTATTTGCATATATTTTTCATATAATATATTATGATACGAACCTGAACCACCCATATTTTGAAGTAGAGCTGCCTGAAAACTAGCTAAGCAATAATTAAGTATTGTATATCAAATTATATACCAGTAGCACAACCCGAGGATCTAACGATCGGAACATATACTTTTGAAGGAGTAAGAGAGTTTATACAGCTAGGCTCATAAATTAATCAGAATAATGCAGTGAGTGCAAAACTTAACAGACGGATATATCTGGCAAATAGAGCCGATTATAGATTAAACATTTTTTAACAACAAGCCTAGTTACTAATAGAACGAAACTAGTGATATACAGAACTCTTACCAAGCCCATCCTCACATACGCGTCGGAAACATGGACGATGACAAAGAGCGATGAAGAACGTTTAAGATGCTTTGAGCGTAAAATCCTCCGGCATATCTATGGAGAAGTACAGGAGGGCGGATTATGGCGCAGACGCTATAATTTCTAACTTTACTGCCTGTATGATAAACCTGATATTATTAGGTCCATCAAAATAAACCGGCTGCGGTGGTTAGGTCACATAGAGAGAATGAATGAGATAGAGCCGCCAAAACATATTTATAATCAAAGGATAGATGGAGTTAGAAGGAGAGGCAGACCCAGAGCACGCGTTAAGGATCAGGTGGAGGAAGACTTGAGAATTTTGGGAGTACGAAACTGGAAAGTCAAGGCGAAGAATAGGATAGAATGGAGACTATCCTTGAGCAGGCCAAGACTCACCATGGGTTGTGGAGCCAATGATGATGATGAATAATTAAGTATTTTATTTATAACAGATGTTTATTACGGTAGTTGCAGAAATGTGTGACTAATTTTTTATTTATAATTCCTTTAGTTTTTGAACTATGTATTAAGTCCTTCAAAAACCGTTCTATAAGTCAGTTTAACCCTAGAACACTCTTGTACGTAATAAAACGCTTAATACTCTTAACACGTATAATTTACGTATATTGAATTAACAAATCTAAGAACAGTGGTAAATTAACAAAATATTTGTAGCAAACACAAATACACAAAAAAAGTCTTATTAATAACTAATAATTAGGTGTTCTCCGCAAATAGGTTTTTTGCATTTCGGGCAATAAGTGGTCGTCATTCGTTTAATTGTTGTGGAACAGATTGAGCAATACTTCCTTGGAGCTTTTTGGTTTTCTGTTACGACTTCGGAGTATCTTCTTTTTCCAAGACCTCAGAAATATTTTGTTTTAATTTACGGTTCAATTATTTTCTAAGCGACTTGTCTGGTGAGGTTCTGTAAGTTTTTTATGAAGCTCCATCATAAACTGCTGTCTTTGTATGGGTTTTCACCTTTAGTAAAAACGTTATGCGAATAAATAACGTAGGCATTGATGCAAGCCATATTGATCATATTATAAAATATGCACATCGGCCATCTTTTGGTCTTGCGGTTCGCACACATATTTTGACACATTTGGTCAAACGTATCAACTACTCCTTTCGTGGAATTATACGACATTATCATTTCGGGTTTTTTTGTATTTTTTTTAACTGTTCCCTTTTTATACATTGTTGATAGTAGAGTTACTATTTTATTATTTTTAGGTTTATAGGACACCAAGGAGCAAGTTTTACTATATGCGTACATAGACGTGTTGATCTGACGTTGCTTATTATTTTCCAATAATTCTGATGAAATGTGTGGTTTATTCTTCCAAATCGCTCCCAAGTATTACACATTATAGGGCCTTTTTAGTAATTTCTCTGCCAAAGGAATATTCGTGAACCAGTTGTCCATGGTCAGGTTCCGGTTAGTGCCGTGAATTGGAGATGTAGATTTGCCTAAATACGGTTCAGCATTGTCCAAGTACTTGGTGGCGACATCGCATAACAAAACCAATTTTAACCCGTACTTCGCAGGTTTATTTGGTATGTACATGCGAAAATTGTATTTTCCCCTAAAACCCACCAGCTGCTCATAATTGTGAAATATGAACTGGACTTGTGATTTGTTTTATAATGGTTAATAAATTCTCATATATTTCTGATATGGGGCAAAATCAGTAATTTCTCTCCTTTAGCTCTAGATATGTCGAGCAAATCGAAATTTGCTCATCGTCGCCCTGTATCTGGCACCGGAAAACGATGTATTAAACATAATATTCGATGACAAGTGATTGTCCTTTAGTACTGCAGCGAGTATATAAAGTCCCAAGAGCGCCTTCAGTTCTTCTAGATTAGTTTCAGAAGTTCTTTGGGCACCGTCATGATAATTTTGTTTTTTTGGTTTATTTCTTGATTTGTATATGTCACTGTTTTAGTTACCATCGAATTGGCGAAAAATATTTCGAATGCACGTCAAGATTCAAAAATGCCCCTAACTTCAGCCTTAGGACCAGGCCTTACATGGACAACGTTAATTACAGGTGTTTTACCGATTGCTTGTGGCGTGGTTTCCCAAAGATATCCATTTTTGCCCTTAAGAGTATCTCCATCTGGAACTATAATGTGTTCGAGATCAATAGCGACACCCTAAAAGTTATTGAGATTAGGTTAACAATTGGCACAAACCAAATTAAATAAATACCTCCAGAAAATTGCTACTGCAGGACTCCTCTCTCTGCGGATGGTCTGGTTGGATCATTGTTTTAGTATCGACAGCAACATCCTATAAATTACAAAAATAAAATTAAGTGCTGGCTAGCCAATTAATTATAAAATCAACCTACCCCTTCAAAACTCATACTAGGTGACACTTCTTCTTGTGCCCTAGGGGCATTTGAAAGTAGTCTTTGCTTTTTTGTAGGTATTGTAGTACTTTTTGTATTTTCCATATACATATTAGACTTTTTTCCACGTCCTCCTTCACATTTTCTTCATCGGGAACAAAATCGGGATCAACAATGCTGCCATCAGAATCACTATCAATTCCAGCGCTATCCACTTCAATATGATCTTCCTCACTCTCACTACTCTCGCAAATCAACCGTTCAAGTTTGGCATATCTTAGCGCCTTTCTACTCATTTTATAATAAAAAATTGGTGTTCAGGTGTTGACCCTCAAGGATCGCGACACACTAACACCTACTTAGTCGAGGTTTATATTACAATTGGCGAAAAATATTACCAATTGCCTACTCGAGGCACTGCTAGCACTTATTTTTACGTACAAGAGTGTTCTAGGTTAAGAGCTATAACCTTATATGAATTAAATTTTTTTCAGTCCCATTTTTAAAATATATTGAGTATTAATGGTATTAAAATAGAATTGTTGATAGAATTTTCATCTTTTACGAATGAAATAAATGTCGTTTTATTATGATTTACCCAAAACCTTTATTCTGAATTCAGATTGGACACAGAAAGAGAAAAACTCTTTTTAATAAGTTATATTCCAAGATATTTTAAATTTTATGTAAATCATCTTGTTGATAAATTGTACACCAAGCAAAAAAAAAACAATAAGAGCGTAATTGTATCATCAACATAAATCGCACAATAAAAACAATAACACAAAACGTAGCATTAAAGTCTGTGCTACATTGTTACTTACGACATTTCATCGCGCCTTATTACCCGCACTATTCTTTCAGAACCAGCAGTCTCTCCGTTATACATTCCATATTATTCAGATGTTGCTAAATGACGAACAGTAAAAACTTGTGAATAAAACTTCGAAAAGACTGAATAAAATTTTTATTATCTGGTTTGTCTTTTCAAAAGAATATTACCCTAAACAGACAAGACGCGCCGCTGTTCAAAAACTAATTCCATTCCTTCTATAAAACAAGGCGTCCCCATCGAAATTTATTAGTGTTAGTCCAGAGGCGTGTCGATGTTGAGATTTTAGGTACCATATATTTTGAGAAATTATTCGTTAAAAAATCATTTTTTGAGTACAAAACAGACAATCGTTTATTTACTTATTTAGGTAGTACTCTTTTAGCTAATAAGCTGTAAAGCGTCACCTTATTACATATTTTTCTATATTTTTCCTAGATTTAAATATAGTTGGAGGTATTCTAAAAGTATATTTTAATAATATGACAATAAATGGTAAACGTCTTTCGAAAGCAATATTTAACCATTTTATCAATAGAATCAAAAGGCAGATTTTTCTGCGTAATCCTAATATAGTTTAACTATAAAATGTCAAGACTTCAGATGACCTGTAATCTATCTCTGAGGATTTAAATTTAACACCGTCTAGGAACTTTGAGTTGGTACCTACAGCATTGCTTATTCATTTTCGTCAAAACGGTAGTTCCCACTGTTTGATATTCCCAACATACTAAGGTGATAGTTTATTGAGGAGTGTACAATTTTCAACTGATAATAACTTCAATAAAATTGCAACTGAGCAAAGAGCTGATGTATCTTGACGAATTATGGCAAAAATGTATACCAATTAAAATAACCAACAAAAAAAACTTCATATGCTCCGCCTATTTCATTGTCCTCGAATAAAAATATATTACAAACACCTCAAAGTTTTCGTTTGGCATTTAAAAATTTATCTTAAAAATTTAAATATTTGAACGATTATTTCTTCAACCCTGAACGTGTAAACAGTGAATAATAATAAAATCAAAATCCTATTCGGATTATTGAATTCGACTCTGAACATAGTATATATGCTATGTTCTAGCTCTAGTAGCTATCTAGTAGCTTCTAGTAGCTATCATAGCTAATACGTGTTTTAAAATTAATTTAAAAACTAGTGAAATACTAAAAATCTTTTCCTTAATTAGTGATTCAGTAGTGTAATAACAAACATAAATATAACAGAGATAGTAAGTTACTTTAATCATAACTCTTTTTACTATTATCAAATATTATTTCAGATTATAATAAATTAACATACAAAAGCTCGGTCAGGTATATCAAACCTGTTCCACTGCAGACTATGTAGGTTGTTTTCCAGGACCGTATTCCAATTATAAATAATTATTAAAATTGATAGTTCTATTCAATCTGAAATTCCTACAACTAATAATATACCAAACAGCTCTTAATCCAATGTATTTCCATCAATAAAGCAAACAATTATTTTTGATTCAATTGAAAACACCAAACTAGATGATTATTTGTCTGCTCTTAGTCGTCTGATCCAACCAACCCAGATCATATTCTGTTCAAAATTATCAAATAATAGAGTATGTATATATTTAGCAAACGAAAAACTAGCTGAGGATTTTATAAACAAAAATGAATAAATTCAAATAAACCAACAACTCTTACTAGATCATAGACTAATTTGCCCCAGTCAGCGATTAGTATTGTCCAATGTCTGTCCCTCAATCTGACAGCCAGTCCTAATATCTGCATTAAAAATCGCATGGAATAAATCTTCTGTCACCTATAAAATTCCTAAGAATAGGCACAACACATACATATCTCCACTTAATAACCAGCCCTTACCTGATTTTTTCTTATCACACATGGAGAAACGATATACAGGATTTACCTATCATTAGATAACCAAGCTTGCCAAATATGTAAGCAAACCAACCACTTAACCAAAAAATTGCTCAATGTCTACTGCGATTACAACAGATAATTCAACATCAAATAATCCAGTTCCAAATATAGATCCAATTGAAATTACAACGAATCTATCAACTTAAAAATCCAGACAAACACTAAACAACAACAATCAAAAGAAGAAAGCACACAACACGCAACCCAAAAACAAAAACCACACATGCAGCCAACCAAAGAATATTCACAAAAAACAAACGACCCACAAATAGATCTAGAAAATAAGGCCACACATATAAAAACAGGCACAACACAAAACAAGCGCACAATCTCCCAAATCTCTCCACCAGCTACTACATCTACAGAGGAAACTACTTTTACTTCACTAAAAAATAAAGAGAATAAATTAAAATCAGATCAAAATGTTAAACCACAAAAAAACACTAGAGGAAATGCTAAAATGCTGTAAAACTTTATTTAAAAACCCAAACTACAACTACCCTATAACTTACGAACAGTTATAAGACTTCTTTTTGTTAACTAACTTTTTGTTGAATGGCGGATTTATCTAGTAGAAGTTTTTTGTAGGTTCTTGTTTTCATCCAAAAAAATTCCCATTTTTTGATTAGCTTACTCAAATTTTCACGTCTTATATTATAAATATTAGATGTATTTTCTAAAGTTTTTAGGTAATAAACGTTAATGGTATATACTCCTAGAACATTAATATTACAATCGTCCAATTTTTTAGAAGCCATTTCACATCAGGCGTAAAATGTGAGGCCATCTTAAATTCTCATCTTTTAAATAGGTCGAAATTTTGTTCCAATTGTAAGGGCTACAATTTTTTTTAACTCGATAACTGGTTCCTTACTATCTAATACACGCTGGATAAATTGAATCGTATTAGTAATACGTTACCTCGTTTGTTCATTTAGTTTTTCATTTGAAAGTTTAGAAACAAATTCAATACTGTATTTTACACCGACGCCGCTCTTAAAATCACAATTATCTATCTGAAAAATTCCTCGTTAAGCCTCGCTATGTTGCTTAGTATCAAATGACATCTATAAAGCTTTATCCTACTCCTATCTACAGCGTATATTTGGGCCTTTCGATTCTATTACGTATAGAGATATACGATCTTTCAAATGTTCATTGCAGCTAGGCTGTGTGGCGTGTCTAAAATGTCAATTTTCTGGCGTATAAATCAGGCTGAGCTTGATCGACAGCATGGCCATGTTAAATTTGCTTCATTATTTGTTGTAGCTTATTAGCATAGACTTAAGAAAACACCACAAGCAAAACTCTAACGGGGTCAAATCACACGATCTAGGTGACAGTGTCAATGGTGGCCTAAAACCATATATCGTTGGTGTCCATGTCATGAAATTCGGGCTAAAAGAAGTTGGTTATCGCCGATCTCAAAGAAAAATAGCCTAATGACACCCTAGTGCCTAGTCCAAAATCCATACCAAACAGTAATTTTCCGGGACCCATTGGGTGCTCTTTGATCTTATCTGGTTTGTATGTTTCTGTAACTATTCCCCAAATTAAAGCAATAAACCTAGGTTCTTGATAATACAGAAGTTATAATTATTAATATAAAAAGATTAATATTTATCTAAAAACTGACAAAAAGTTGGTATGTTTTTTAAAATGTTTCTAGTTTACCAGATAAAATTTAGGAAACTTAGTTAAGGTTTGTATAAGAGAAAAGATTTTATGTATAAAGATCACTGTAATGGGTTTTACTATACTATAACTTTTGTTAAGAACTGCCAAGAGTAGAGTTGTTGTTAATACCAGTGTGGAAAAAAACTGTTATTTATAAATTATATTATTGTCCGATATTAAATAATATAATTCAAAAAAGACATTGCCATATCTTATATTAATTATTAAATTATAGCAAAACTTTATATTTGGTTATACAATTATTAAATTATAACCAGATTTTGAAAACAAAACTATATTAATATTAATGAATTGGACTAATTTTTCATTTCAGTATCGTTATCTTATAAATATTTATATAATAGCAAGAATGAATAAAACAGAAAAATATATTGAACATCTAGAAAAAGCAGAATTATTATTTGATGTCAAGTTTAACCTTGCCGAAACTTTGTCCAAAAAATTGTTATTTTAAAAACCATAGTTAGTACACGCGGAGTCAAATCCGGAAAACTACAGAACTCACATGTAGCTCCCGCTCAAACCTCAAATTGTGAAAACGCTCAAACCTCAGCACATGTTTTGAGATATTCACCTCTCATCAGAAATACTTGTAATAACTGAAACTGAAATTAAATGCAATCTATATGGCCGTTATAGTAACATAACATACCTGGGTATGCTAGCATGGACCTCTATATACGCGCAACAAGAAGTCAAGACACCATTCTTCGATGGCAAACTGCTACCATAAGATGTTCCTAATAGTATGAATATCTCTAAATACTTGTAGACAAATAGTACAGTAGTCGAGCTTGAATTGAAAAGAAATGCAATCGTCTACTTCCATTTCCACCGTCGTTTCTC